GTTGATCTGCCTGTTCTGTTCACTGCTCTGTCTCTGGTGAAGCCTCTTACCGCCCCTGAGCCTCTGGCCTGCACCCCAGTTCTGTATGCACAAATAAATAAATCTTTAAAAAAAAAAACAACACAGTCGTCAAAAAGAGTTTTTAATGATTCTCATAGAGTTGCATGCTACAGTAGGGAAAAAAGACAAAAGATTTCTCATTCTGATATTGCAAAGTGGCTTGTATTAATTAAGCCAGTGTTCAGGTAACAATGATAAACTCTGAGCAAATAGAGAAGGCAACTGTTTAAAAGGACCAGAAAAATAGCCAGAAGCAGACACAAACAAGAGAGGAGTCAACACTTAAAGAAAATCACATGACATCAAATCCATCGTTCTAGCATGTTTTCCCTGAGATTCTTCTCCAGTCCACTGCAACACTGTCTCTTTGGCTGACACAGAGCACAGGGCTTCCAGAGTGCATGGAACTACAGGAGGCAATTCTGGAAAGTAGGCAAGTCCCAAATCTGCTGAGAACCTCCCTTTAAAACCCTGACTGACTCCTGAATCTGTAGGCACAAAGGAGACCTCATGGGCTCCAGGAAGAAATAAGTCGAAGACAGAAGGAACTGGGATTTCTGGTGCTCCTCACCACAGCACCTTAAGACTGGAACTGAAGCTTGTCAAGGTGGAAGTTTCATAAATACCTCAATTCTATAGGAACCCCAGGAGAAACACACTTAAAAAAACAGACTGTATCTAAGAAAAAGAGATTGCTAAGTACATACTCCTCTTAGCAAAATATAAAGACAAAGTCTTTATATTTCAAAGTATAAAAAAAAAAATAACAAAGATGAATAATTGTTAGAGTAAAACAGCAGAGTTCAGCGTCTCTACAAAATACTCTCCACAGTTATGAAGTAAAAAATTACTAAACATAAGAAAAAACATGTCAACAGAAACTTATCCTTCGATGACCCAGATGTTGAATTAACAGACTGGGATCTGAAAGCAGCTATTACCCCAACTCTATGCAATAACCCAAGTAAAAAGACGTAATGACCAAATAGGTGGTGAATCTCAACAGAGCAATGAAAACTATACTGAAGAGTCAAGATTAATATCCCTGAACTGAAAATTGCTATGATCTGAGATGAAAAAATTCAGCTGACAGAACAGCTGTATGTCCCTGAGAAAGCTACTTTATCTTTGGGTTTTAATATTTCCATCTGTAAGATGGGAGAAAAGGACTAGGTTTTCAATTTTCAAAGTATATCAGAATCATCTCAGTTGTTTGAAAAATGCAGAAGGGGTCTTCTGGTAGCCTAGGGGTTTAAGGCTCAGCACTATCACCACTGTGGCCTGAGTTTGATTCCTGGCCAGGGAGCTGACCCATATGGCACTGCAGACCTCTCCTGTCTCACCTGCTGCTTCCCTCAGCAGTGTAGTTCAGTAAATCCACTGTCTCTGGTGCATTCTCACCCCCTGCACCTCTGGCCTACATACCATTTCTTCTATGCAAAAGTAAGTAAAATCTTTTTTAAACATGCAGATAGCCAGACCCCATCTTGAGAAGTCCAGAAATTTTATTCAACTGTGGACTGAGTATAGGTATGCTCATCTTTTACATCCCCTCAGATAATTCTAATGAAACAGCCACATTAGGGAATCACTGGCGAAATCCACATTAGGGAATCACTGGCGAAATCACTGGCAAAATATAACACTGAACCAAGGCTGCTGCTTCACTAACATAACACTTTACACAACTGATTTTCTCTAGCATTTAAAAACATCACTATATCACTTAACTGAGACACACACAAGCACATATACACCTTAGTAAATGTCTCACTCAGCTTTCACCACAATGAACATCCCCACTTAAAACAAATGGAAAAGTGTACATTAAGAAGTTTTATTTTGACTTCAAACAGGTGAAAGCATTCTCTGATAAGGAGAGCGAGCGACCTGTCAGTTACAAAATGCCAACGTAAAAAAACTGTCTCTCTCTTCCCTCCCCCTCTCTTCACTTCTCACCCCTGTATCAACAGATACCTTGAATTTAAATTCAAAGAATTATTATGGAGTTTGTCTGAGGCAAACAAAATGAGCAAATTTTGTTTACTGTCAAGATTTTTGTTTGTAGATGTTGAACCCAGCAAACAGGCTGATCCCACTGCCTATATATCTTAAACATTTGGATTGATGATCTTAGTTGGTTAAAACATGGTACTGATGGCATCACCCAGAAGGCTCTTATTGACTGATTAGAGTTTTGCTAAGAAAACCTGCGTCCCGTAACTCTCGCTGGCCTACCTGAGGAGGGAGGGGGGGGGTACGCACTGAGCAAGACAAAGCCACTGCTCCAGGGCCAACCGAGTCAAAACCAGCATGTGTCTTAAAACCATGCAATTTTCCTGCACTGAAAGATTTCGCAGGACTATGGAAGAACCTAGATGCTAACCACCAAGCTTGCTAAACAGAACTGATGCACTGGAAGGTGATTACACTGTGATTTTAGCTTCTTTTCCAGATACTTCAAAGTGTCTGGGGTCTTTCTTACAACTGTGAACCGCAGAGTGGGGAGCCCAGCTCCAGCACACACAGGGCTGGCGGAGGTCCTGAGGCTGGCATTTGCAAAATCCAGGAAGCATGTAATTGCAGTGCACGCTCCCTTTTTTGGATGGTTCACCTTCAGCAGGCTGTCAAAGTTGAGTCCCAGTTATTTTATCAAATGCCTGGAGCATGGAATCATTAAACTTCTCATTGCCAAATCTTTGTTTTCCTTCTAAATTCTAGTTCTCCAGGGACTGATAAGACTCTGCAGGTCGGGAAAGAAGAGAGAAGCCAATTTCCAAATACATAAATAAAAATGTAATGTGAACCCCTGCCCTGGTATACAAACAATTTCAATTAGTTAGGCTTTGAACGCCCTTCCTAGGCTCACTGTGAGTGTCTCCCAAGAGGCCTGGTGGAGGGAGACAGACAAAAGACTAGACAGTTAATTGTTCTTTCAGCAGAAGCATTTTTCTTATGTTATTACTGGGCTCAGGAGAAGTCAGAATTTGACTAAGGGAAGAAGAGAGACTTACCTTCTCGCCGATCATTTCTGAGAACTCGCACTTTCTCGATTTTCCCCAAGAGAGCCCCATCCTCAGCTGGGAAAGAAAAGAAGCAATTTTGAACCTCAGATGTATCACGGGCTTTGTATTCAAGTGCAGTGTTCTGGAACATCTATGAACAGATCTCAGGGCTCCCCTCTTCCTGTGGCCTTGCTGTCTGGCTTCGGCATGAAACTGGTCGTCAGTGCAAAACTCCAGGAAGGCTAGAAGCTGGGAGGGGGCGGGGATCGGTCTCCACACTTACGGTCATTGCTGTAGTCGTCCACCAAGATGATTTCTTTGATGAGGTGGGGTGGGCTTTTCTTGAGCACACTAAGGAAAGACAGAAAGATAAAGGTGGTGGGTCTGGCAGGGGTATCATTAGGGTGGGGTATATGAGCTGCCTATTCAGGGGTACCCCACAGAGCCCACGGCCACATCCCTGCCAACGAGCACCTCCTGCCAGGAGCTGCAACACATGGATGAAGGTGGCACCCCACAGCCTCACCTGACCACTGTCCTCAGCAAAGCCGATCTGGCTTCGTTGTGAAACGTGATCACCACACTGGTAGCCGGCAGGTCCACCCGCCACTGCTTCCGCTGACACCTGAAAGGAGAGAAACATCGTCCCTAAAGCCCAGTGTGGCCACGGCAAGGCCCCGAGAACACAGGGAGAGTGATGTGCCAGACGGGCTGTCATTGCGAAGTCACCTGTCTACTCCGAGGGAGAGAAACAGCAGGACAGAGGAAACAGAAAATCACCATGCGTTAGGTTTTCAAAGATGAATGATTCCGGTGCAAAGTAACATACTGAGAACATTTTTCTATCGTGTTGAAAAAAGTGTTTTAAAACAGTGAAATCCCATTTATTCTCACATGCAGACACACCTCTAGAGACGGGCTTTTCACAATTCACAGTGGTTATTTCTGAGGGTGGAATCAACTATGCTTTGCTGTTCTTTTCTTGGTTTTGACTTTCCTTATAGCAATCATGTGCAACTTGGGTATTCATCAAAGTTGCGTCTGGAACCTGGCTCTCCCCCACTGCTTTCCTGGACCACAGACAGCAGGGACACACCCTGCCCTGCCGGGCCCTCGGGGCCAAGTGTGTGATGGAGGTGAGGCTGGCAGAGTAAACTTAACGGCAGGCCTGTGGGGCAGTCAGCCCATCCGCTGGCTCGTTTCCCTCAGAGCGGTGTTCAGAAGAAGCCTGGACTTGCCCCTGGTAAGTGGGTTCAGGGTCCAGGCCTACAGAGCACGGGCAGCCTACCACATGGTCTCTCTCAAGCCTGCTCTCTAGAGACAGACACAGGCCACCAGGACCCTTTTCTTTTTTTTAAAGCTGGCTTCTCTGACAGCTCTGGGTTGAAAACGCTGGTGTATCCTACACTAGAGACAGAAATGGCCAGTAAAGGCAGGATCAGGCTGAGCAGATGCCAGTAAGGGGGGGCCCTGGCAGCCTCTGGGGTTCAGTCTTGAAGAACATGCCAGTGTAACAGGGGTGGCTGTAGAGCTGAGAGGAAACACTGGCCACTGACCTAGGCCAGAGGAGCCAGGGGCAGAGGTCTCAAGGGTGGGCGAGTCGCACTGCAGTGAGGGAGGGTCCTGTGGTTGGACCCCACAAGGTCTCTCCACACTGACCAGCATGCCCTTCGGGAAGTTCCCACATCGACCAATTAACAACTCAGTGCGAAGGGCACTGTGGAAGCCGTCATGGGGCCCACGCATTTTAAAAACCCATGTTGCTCTTTAGCTTTTAATGCTGTTTATCACAAGCATGAAGAACAGGCTCCGGGGTCAAGGGCGTCCGTCTCCATGGCAGCACGCAGCTGCAAGGAAAGGCCCCACCCAACGCACAGAGGCAGGTGAGGACGCAGGGGGCCACTCAGCACCTCCGGACCACTAGCAATTCTCAAGAGCCAGTAAGCCTGAAAATGGGCAACAAACACTCACTTTACCTCATGACTGGAAGAACGATTTCTGAGCAGCAAATTTTGAAAATGAGTAAGAAAAGCAATGCAATTAAAAAGCAATTAGGTCCGAATCTCAAAATGGGCTTCTTGTGTTTATTTTATGTGGATAGCTTGATTTTAATTAATCATGTGAAAACTGCATAATATATCAGTCATTGTTGGGGGGGGAGAAATACATTCTGGAATTAATATGGTACCTCATTATGGATCCTAATGGCTAAGTCTTTAATGATGAGCAGACTGATGGGCTAGGTGGTGGTGGTGGCTTTTTTTTTTTTTTCACTTTAAGAATTAGCTGATTGTTAGATTAAGGAAGCAAGAATCTGCCAGGCTCAACTGTAAACAAATTACCAAGAATGCCAT